GGGGGGGGGGGGGGGGAGAGATTAAGCAAATCTTAGACAAGTACACATCTGGATTTTTTAATACTTTGGCTATATCCTCCCAAATAAGAGAAAAATGAGAAAAAACAAGCAAATGACGGGCATCACAATCTCTATTCAAATATATTTCTGAAATCTATTTGGCAAAAGGACATTAACCAATAGGATTAGAATATGATAAGAGGTATGGTCCAGGCACATACACATTTGAGCATATAACAAAATTTGTCACCATAGGAAGTTCACACAATAATTCAGAATAGAAGATTTAGAAACAAAGTTTAGAATCTAAAGGCCATAGCAAATAAAGCATGATTTCGTTTTGAAAGACAAATACACTTCAATTTCAAGCTCTTCAGCCAAAAAATCACACTCACTACTATCTCTTTATACATCTACCTCTGCCAACTTGTGCAACAATAAATTTTGATGACAGAAGGCAATCAAGCATCAAACTTCTAATTAACACTTTATATTCATAGTAATTGAAAGTTCAAATAGTTACCGCAGATAACTACGTAATACTGTCAAGACTCATTGTCATTCATATAGCATGCTAAAGAGCTCTAACTTACTTAAACGTCAAACTTATAGTTATATCTGGTTCAGCCAATTTTATACAACAGGGAGACACCACACCACACTCTCACGCCCAAGCTCAAAAAAAGGGAGATGAAACCCAAGAGAACATACCATATCAAAGTAATATCAAGTTAAGAATTTTTCATTACCTACATTACCTAGCTAGCCTGCAGGACAAATTCCCAAGGACTTTCTATTACCTAGCCAGAAGAAATACTACATTTTCACTGGCCTACTGACTTATCATGACAGCAGCAAGGTGCTTCAGTGTCAAAATGTCAAAGTACTAATGCCAAGTTTTATTTCTTATTCACAAAAAGGTTCGGCAGCATGAAAGAGCAAGGGGGAGCAGAAAGCTTCTAAGCTTCACATGGGAATGACTCAAGTGGTAGAGGTTCAAAGCAAGATGTTTCTTTAATCAAGAAAAAGAAAAACTGCTGAGCAAGATGTAAAATAAACTTCTTTGTAGAAGTTGATTTCTCAAATAGAAAGAGCAATCCAGTTATTTCTCTCAATGTTTATGTTTATCTTCTTTCTTATTTGTATTACACTTTGACACCTTTCTTAAATTATAATTCAGAATAGTGAAACATCCTACCATAGATATGTCATTTCTACAAGATGCTGCTACTATAAGCATAAAGTGATACCTTTTGAGTAAAGTCAATATAAACATGCATTTGATGAGTAGTATTTAACATAAAATTAACACCCTATTCCGTAGGTCATTCATTTATGCACCAAAAGTTTCTGTCATTGCACCAGTCCATTCTTGAACTCCTCTGATTTCCTTCTGACATTTTACGCCTCCTATTCCCACAATTAGTTTGATCTCGTAAATTATCACCATATTTACATTAAACATAAAAAACACCTCCATCTTGGATATAAGAATATCCCAGCCACATCAACCTTCTGATACCCTATTTACTTCAGAACACAATATATATATATA